CCTCCAGAAGCAAGAGGCAAAGGTGGAGGAGCAGTTAAGGAGTCAGCCACCAGCTGCCCTCGACGACGTCGCACTCCCATGGGTCCCACCCTCGTTGGTACCCCACATTGTGAGGATGCCTCCATCCTTCCCCGCTCCCATGCAACAAGATGGGAAGCTGAGCAAGTGCAGGCCCTCAACCTTCAAGAGCCAATCCCGAATGCTCAGAAGAACCACCGCTTTGGCCCAAATCTATTCATTAACCCACATCACCGCTTTATTTAAGTGGAAAACAGGTTTCTTAGGGTGCCCTTCCCTCTTGCTGCTCTGAGCAATACGGAGATGAGGAGTGGGGATCCTCCTCTCAGGGACGTGCTGCTGACCAAGAGAAGAAGGAAAGCCCGGCCAAGGTGGTTTCCAGCCTGCCACCGCATCGCAGAGAGCTTTGCTGTGGCTCTTCGCGCAGACGGCGGATCCCATTAGAGCTGTAAAACATTGGCAGAAGGGAGGTGTTAGCGAGATGTCAGAAAATAGATCCGTGGCGCTCGGCCGGTGATTTGTAACTGGCAGAGCTCCTGCGAGGGGTATTTTTATTTGGCAGTTTTGTCACACGCGGTCCAGGGAGAGTGTGAATAAATGGACTCAAATGGGAAGTGTAATCATGTGGAAAAGCAACACAATTACCCTTTCATGAATCTCTGTCATATCCCGTGCCAGGTAAGATGAGCTTTGAGTGAGAACACATAACAAGTGATCCTAATTTCTCATTAGGATCTTAAAATCATCACTCCAGCCCAACCACCTCTGACTCAAAAGCTCCTCTTTGGGTTTACAGGACCACTGCCGGCTCGTAGCACCACGGATAAACATCTCCTACCTATCTACAACGCCAAAGGTGGGATTTGAACGCGCCCTGCTTCGAAACAGCAGCTTCCCCTGGAGGCCCATGCTGCCAAGTGCTGGGGCATCCAGAGGGCTATAGCTGGAACGATGGGGGGAAATCAAGAGTATTTTAGGATGCAGATAATTAAATCGTTTGGACTCGATCTTAAAGGTCTTTGCCAACCTAAATGATTCTATGATCTGCGGGTGGTAACATTAGAAAAGATGCATTTTCCAAGGAAGCAATGGAAAGTCGCTATTTTTATGAGTGACACTGTCACAGAGAGTTGGAGATTTCTACTAAAAAACTGCTGATCACACAGGGTTGTGCAGCAGCACTGCCAGTACTGGAAGACGTGGATGAGGTCGGATGAGCTGGAGCGACGGACGTGGCATTGGAGTTCAGTCATGTCAAGTTTAAGGTGGACGCACAAGCACCTGGCAGAAAGGAAACGGGAAGATTTGGGTGTCCTTGATCATGGGCCAGCCAAAAGCTATCAATGCTATGAAGCCATGGGCAAAGCAAATGCGATCCTCAGCTGTGTGAGACAGCTTTTTGTCAGAGCCACGCATAGGAAACCCCCTGGAAAAGGCACCGGCCGGACCCCAGCAGTTCTGCATTCAATTTGCATCACCTACAGTAATGAACAATGAATTTGACGGGGGACTCTTGTTTCTTTTTCCAGCTCCGATGTGGTTGCTCTGGATTCACCCAAAGCTGCCTACGCAGCTAATACATTTAGAAAATTATCTGAAATTAAACTCTCAGACAGTTTTCCCCTGTCCACTCCAGCTTTGCCCCAAGATTTACGGTCTGAAGGATCCCTCCTTCCCAGTAGCTGGCACTTAATTCTAATTTTAAACTGAATTACAAATCCAGATGACTAACCAGCTCCAAGAGAAAACTTCCAAGGGGCATTTATGAATCAGTAGTCGTAAGGACTCTCAGGACTGCATTTATACTTTCATAAACTCCCTGGTATCGAGATATAGACCTGGGGGGGTTGGACTCCTCAGCTGCTGTTTAGTTTCAATAAAAGGAGGGCGTTCATCTTATTTGCACCAAAGACAAAAGTAAATGCAGGGTTTGTCCGTCGCAAGTTTGCATTTTGCAGGTGTGCTGCTCCTTTCCTTTGCAGACAGAAGGGAAACTGCATCCCCGTGATGCTCTGGAGAGAAAGCCACAGCAGCTGACATTCACTTACGACGGCCCTAAAAAGGAGAGGGGGAAAAACAAGTAGTGTTTCAGCAAATGGAGGTGATGGACTCGGCAAAGGACACCATTTACAGGTTCTCCAGGGAACCGGGGAACTAATCCACTTAGTAAAACATTTTTAGTCCCCATTTTAAGGCAAACTAGGTTTTCAGCCAAAAAATTAATCTGCATTGGAACCGGGGAACTAATCCACTTAGTAAAACACTTTCAGTCCCCATTTTAAGGCAGACAAACTAGGTTTTCAGCCAAAAAATTCATCTGCATTGCAACGATTTCACTGGGAAAAGCAATACAAAATCTAACCTGTTTGAGTAGCTTTTGTCAGTTCTCTTATTGCCCCAGAAATGACAGTTCCCACAAAGCAAAGCGGCCCGAGCCACGAGGGATGTGCTGAGTGCTGCAGGAGAAATTTTAAGCTTTCCATTCAGTGTATCCTGAAGTCCAAAGGCTCCGGGTATCTCTTGGTGATGGAGAAAAAAGATTCAGGAGATACGTCAGCTCTCATCTTTCCACATCTGCACCAGACTCCACAGCGCTGGTCTCCCTCAGCTGGTGATACACACGAAATAAAATCCGAGTCTGGCGTCCACCTCCACAACCACCACCAGGCCCAGAATTTGTATTTTCGAGCTTCGCACAAGCCAAGAACTCAGTGGGGCTGAAAAGCCAACTCACCTCGCTCGTAATCAGTCTTGACATTTAAAACACATGGATAAACAGCTCTCCTCATGTTATCACGAGAAGGCTCTCGGTGGTGCAAAACATCGGAACTAAAGCAAACTCCCCTATTTAGCTGGAAACGTAATGGATTTTACATCGGAACTAAAGCAAACTCCCCTATTTAGCTGGAAATGTAATGGATTTTATTATTATTATTCCTATTTCCATATTGGCTATGAGAAGACGGGCAGGCAGCGGGACCCTAAGTTTAGCACAGCGCAGTTATACTTACCATCCTTCTCTTTACTTGCGGCTGTAAATTCCCCGGTACAATTTAGCGGTTCTCCAAACACTGTTCAGCCCGGCACCACCTCTCGTGGTCTGCGAGGACCTGCCCGGAGCTTCACAGCTGGTCTAACACATCCGTTTCAAATGGCAGTAGATCTGAGCTTGTCGGCACTACCTGGCTGCGTGAGAAAATCCGAGTGTAACGTCGGTCTTTCAGTCAAAGGGTCTCGCTGACCAGCAGAAGACAGCTGTGAGGATGGGACAAGGGGATGCGGTCGGAAAAATACCGGTATGAAGGTTGCTCAGGCACCCGGAGGACTGCGGCGTGTGGGAAGATGGAGGCTGCGCAGAAACCGCATCCCTAGAAGGGATTCTGCGGAGCGTGATGGGCAGCGGCCGCTCGTTACTGCTACCTGGGCATCCCCTGGCATCCCCCCACCAGCGCTACAGCGAGAAGCGGCGGTCCTGTCCTGCTCTGGGAGAGAAAAGCAAGCTTCTGCGGTCAGGAAATCACGTTTACATTCTGGACGTTCAAAATGAAACGCAGGGAACAGTGCTGCATTTGGGCAGCTGTAACCCATTCCCGGAGCTTAAGGCTTTATTCTGGAGATGCGACAAACAGCAGCGTATTGAATGGAAGCGGGGGGGGAAAAAATCCCAAACAAGCTGATATTGTTTAAATAATACACTCTATTTTATTTTGTCTTAAAATAGTTTAACCTTTATGCTACAGACTTGTTTCAAAAAACAGAAGGTCTCATCTTGCACCAAAAATATATATATTTATATACAAATAACACTCTGTTTTATTATTATTATTTCTCCAAAGACCATTAAATACTAGATGGAAAATGAGAACTAAATAATGAGTGTCGAGAAGAATCAAATTTTTTAACTAGAGTCGCACGTTTTAAACATTTATATTCTAAGCAATGATTTGTCTTCACTACAGAAGATTCCAAGTTCACACTCCAGCAATTCAGGAACTGCTAAAACCACGAAGGGCTTGAGCCAATGCACACTGAAGTCGATGGAAAGCCCCGCACCAACTCCAGTGGGTTCTGGATCAGGCCCCCAGTGCATTGGTTCTTAAGCCAGACAACGGCTAGCATTTCTCTTTCCTGCTGAGAAGAGCAAAACCGTCCAGGCACCTTTTGCTCTCTTTAAAAAAACAAAACAAAACAAAAACCAAAACAAAAACACTTCCTAGCTATCCAGTGATTGCGGTTTTCAGATCACTACCCTTTCAAATTTGTGAAGAATAAGAGAAAATGTAGTGTTTTAAATAAAAGAAAACCTGCATCAGACTACAATACATGAATTGTTTAAACAAACACAGTGCACAATTGGAGGAAGTTTGGTTAGGACGCAGTTGTTTTTATATATACATGGAAGTCACATCATATACAAACTGAAAAACAAGAGAGTTAGTTTGCATTTTTCATGGAAGGACTACAAATGGGTCCCTGCAGCTTTTTTCAAAACTGATCTTTAAAAGATTTTGTGAAACAGCAAAAAGCAGCCACACTAAATCACTGTTCCAAAGTTACCTTTACAGCATGTGTGCTAGCCCACTAAAACGACGGCTGACTTGCGTGATTAAAATGCGAGGAGAAAAGATCGCCGGCCACTACTGATACGGTGCCCCAGTAGTACAGGGCTTATTCCCTACTGCAATGCGAATGGGCTCCATCCACGCGCCGCTCCCTCCCTCCCACCCCCAGAGAAAGAAATCGGTCACTAGAAGCACCACGTACATTTTTTCTGGCCATGCAAATACACTTATGTTCAATGTTTTTAGAAAGCTTGAAATTGGATTATCAGTCCCTTACCTAGTTGTTCTTTAAAGTGCAGTCATAACCGTTCTGCTCATTAAAGAAAAAGCTGTTTGTTACTAACTATACCACCACTGCTGGGTTGGTTGGTTTTTTTTTTTTCCTTTAAGTTACGTGACAACATAGGTAATTTTATTTATTTTTTTTTTTTTTGCCCACAGATAAAATTATTGGAAGCCAAATCAACTCAGAAACCACCCAACACAAAAAGAAAACAGAACTTCCCGTGTCCTGACTACCCCCTGTTCAGCCTTAAATGGCAAAAAATCTGATGATAGAGCTGTACAAAATTCCCACTAGAAATATTTTGAATACAAAAGAACATTTTAATTGCACAATAGACATTTAAAGTGAATATCATCTTGTTAAAGTCTAATCTTTGGTTTTTGCCTTGAGAAAGGCTCAAAATGACAGATGAGGGGCAGGAATTTCCATATACACTACAGAAACTACAGCCTGCTAAAGTAAGTAGTTCCACTGATTTTGGTAAATATTCCGGTAGAAAGTGTTTCCTGGATCATACCCTAAAAACAATTCCAAAACTAGGATAAGAGACGTGACCTAAAGCCAGGAAAATGGTGCAGATCTAGTTTAAAAACAAACAAACAAACAAAAAGATCACAACCTTAAGCCCTGATCCTGCAACATCTTTTAGGACAGACTTTGAAGCACTTGAATGGCCCCACAAGTTTCAGCGAACTGCCCGAGCTGAACGCTACGCATCTGCTAAAGTGCTTTGCCAGACTGGGGCTTTGCAAGGTGGTTGGGGTTGGGGTTTGTTTTTTTTTTGCCGTGGTCAATGAAGCAAATAAGCAACAGTAGAAATGAGGACTACGAGCAAAATGTTTCGTTTCTCTCCTTCTCCTACTCCAGGCAAGACTCGGATATAGGTAAAAAAGTTCAGCTATGTTTAAAAAGGAGAGGGATGCTGGGCCTTTTTATTACTTTTCTTTTTCTTGTGCTTTTGCACTAATCAGCTGCTAGTAAGTCACTACTATTTTAAACCGTAACAAGCTGTGGGAAATGATCAGTGAAACACAGTAGTCAAGTAGACAGAAGACTCAGCACTGAAAAGAGTGTAAACTATAAATTATATTGAAAATAAAAATCCTTTAATTAAAAGCTGTTCAGTGCATATGTTATGGGCCGTTCGTATTAAAGTCAGTCCCTCCTGCTGGTAACATAACCAAATCAGCTTGGGTACAAATACTCTTGGCCCAATTTTCGGAAGTGTTGAATACCCCCAGTTCCACTGAAATCAGTGAGGACACAGCATTTCTCAAAATCACTGATGCTCACACAGCAAAACACTAACTTCTACTAACAAACTCAATATACTGATAAATTAAAAATGTTCTGAAGTTGGAGGTGGCAAAGGGTGGGAGGACATCAGTTTGCACACAGTTATTTCTTCAGATTAACACACGCACAAGTTAGTAACTGTAGATGCGTTTTAAATCTGGAGCTATTGGCTTTTAATTCTGGGAGGAATCCTCCTTTGAGAAGGCAAAAACATTTTAAACGATACTGAAATTATACTACATTCTGATGGAAATGAAAAACTTCATGAGTTTGAGTTTCGTAATGCCAGGAACAGGGCTTCTGAAGCTGAAGCTTTAACAATGAACTTCTGTGCCACAAAGGGGAGAAGGGGTTGGGGACACACACACAGTGACACCGCATTACAGTAGATATTTGCGCCTGGTATCCTCATCCAAAGTGAGGTCTACTACTTCTGGGGGCGAAGACCAATTCTGCTGGGGAGTCACAGCTGTCCATGATTGTGTTTGCTGAGTGTTAATGTACTGTGAGCCTGAGCCGTGCTTCCAGGAAGACACACTCTGAATCACACCTCCCCTGGGATGCACGCACCTGTAGCAAGGCAAGAAGCACAAAGGATTAAAGCTACTATTGAAGTCAGGCACAAGATTCTTAGCTGCAGTGTTTTTTTATCACTTAGGCATCTCGTTAACGTGTCCCTCTCCAAAACGTCCTCGTGGATCTTCCATTTGTAGAGTCCATGACATCTTGAACACCCGGTAAACAAAGCTGAGACTCAACTTAAATTTGAACTTGGGGGTGGCGGTGGGGATTAAATTATTTTTAAGAACTGAATTCTGCCAGCGGGTGTAAAGTGATATTCCTTACAAAAGATGTGCATGGATCCCGAGGAACTTGAAGAAGTCTGCCCCATCATGTGTAATACAATGCATTATTCAGAAGCATAGTTTCCTGCTAGCAGTTTTACCCACTGGACTTTTAAAAAGAGAAAAAAAAAATTAAGTGAGGCTTGATGAGACAAAGAGAAAAGCTATCTTTCTATATGAAATCAAAACCATGTTAAAATAAGGACATAATGATACTTTCATCACGATAATTACAAGACAGATCTTGTAATTACATTATTACAGCCATTACATTTGATTTTTCTTTGGTCTTCTTAGCTTAACTAAAAATTACAAACATGCTGGGAAATGCTCACTGATAACAGTACAGCCCCACTTCGGTAAAACATTTAAGCTTTCAGTGATTATAGTCAATGAGACTAAGTCATGTATTTAAAGATAAGCACGCACTCAAGTGCCTTGCTGAAGTGAGGTACGTATCTACTTATTTGCACAGTATTTTTACCTATTATATTCATAAAAGATATGTGACAATTTAAGTACAAGCTAATAATAATTATAAAAAAAAATGAAAGACAGACTGATTTTTTTACATGAGGAAGTGATGACAAGAATTTACTGGAGTCTTTAAGATGATCAATCCATTGCCAGCTGTAAATCTTAAAAAGTGCTAGTAAAACTTTATACCTAGTGCTCCAAAAATTGTTTTGCTCTTACAAGCACTGGTGGCGGCTGTAGCTGCTCCTGGCTGCATACTTAAGCAGGAGATGTTTGGCTGCTGGCACAACCTTTTCCCGTTTCTATGTGAAGGCACGTGTACCGTATTTCAGCAATCCAGGTTTTCTGTACTGGTCAAATCATAGAATCATAGAACAGTTTGGGTTGGAAGGGACCTTTAAAGGCCATCTAGTCCAACCCCCCTGCCATTAGCAGAGGCATCCTCAACTAGATCAGGTTGCTCAGAGCCCCGTCCAACCTGACCTTGAAGACTTCCAGGGATGGGGCATCCACCCCCTCTCTGGGCAACCTGGGCCAGTGCTTCACCACCCTCAGCGTAAAACAT